TGGGCACAGATTTCGGTCCCCAGCACGTGGCATGGTGCCTGATACACAGTAGGTGCTCAAGAATGTTTGTGGTATAGAAACAAATCCCTGCCCTCCCCGCAGAGCTGGTCCTGGAGACTCACCGTCAGAGGGCAGGGGGTCTCTGCAGTGTCCTGGGAAGGGGAGGAGGAGGAGGAAGAGGAGGAGGAAGAGGGGGTGAGCGAGCCTGGGCAGGGAGAGAGGCAGAGAGTGAGCTCCCTGGGCCCCAGCTTCCCCCACCCCTTCACCCTAGACCCAATGCCCACCACCGGCACCACTCACCTCGACCCAGCGCTGCCAGAGCAGCCAGCAGACTCTTCTGGAACTCATCAGCCTCTGCAGGACTCTGAAACGTCAGCCCAAACTTGCAGTCACCCAGGCTCCAGTGATGGAAGATGGGGTTCACCTTGTTGTAAATCAAGCCTGGCTTCAGGGTACACTCTAAGGTGGTCTGAGGGGCAGGAAGAAGCCAGGTGAAACACTCCCCTCCAGCCATACCTGGGACTTGCCCTCCACCCCAGCCTCTCTGCATACCCAAGCATCCCACAAACCTCATTTCTCAATCCTAGGAGTACCCCTGAACCCTGACTGACACTACAATACCACCCCCCAATTTTATTGAGCACAACACGGATACACCAATATTTCTCCAAGCCCCTTGATCCCTACATTTTCCAATATGCCCTCTGATATCCCAATAGGAACCCAAATTTTATTGAATGCCTCAAAGAATTAGTTAGCCCCCTTCTGACAACCCAATATTCCTCGTTCTGACTCAACAGTACTCCCCAAACTTTATTGAACACCTTAAAATATTACTGTTAATCCCCTTCTAATGCCTTAATAATCTCCTAATATGCAACCCCAAAAATTCTTATCAAACTCCCACAAATCTCTCCTCACATGCTGGTCAACACCTTAGATGTTCCCTCATCTCCTTGTCCAACATCACTTATATTCCCTCACACCATTTCAAATGCCCCTGCATTGTCCCTTTGGACCTCTGCTCTGAAATGCAACCCTTCCCCAGAGCCTTTGCAAACCATCTGAATCTTTCTTTCTTCTATGCCCCCAGCTGAAACTTCAACACTGTCCTTCCAAATCAGGCCAGACAGCCCAGAATATTTCTGCTGGACCCACACATGGGATTGTAAACCCTATTTGACATTTCCAGATAGTCCCCCGCCAAATGACTCCATATACTTAGGGCAGACAGAGGCCAGTGGTGTAGGGCCTCATGTTGAGGATTTCTGAGCAAGATGGAGCCACAGGAGGGTTCTGAGCGGAGGGATATGATGTGAGTCAGGTGTTAGCAGGGCCCCTGTGGAGCACACTGAGGTGGGGGAGGGAGCAGGGCAAGGAGAACAGTGAGGAAGGAGGCTCCTGTGATAGTCCTGCAGTGGACAGGACCTGTTTAATACCCAAAATGTTCCAGAAACTCCCAACTCTTATCCACAGGACAGATACTCACTTCCAAACTCCATCCCACATCCCGGTTTAATTCCCAGACTTGAGATGACCTGACCTCACCTCTGCACTCCCAGCCCCATTTCCCCTATTTCCCCAGGCCCCCACCCTACTCCCGTGGCCCACGGTGGCTCACTTTCTGGTCCCGGAGGCGCTCCCCGTGGATGACGTAGTGCCCCTGGCGGGTCCCCCCCTCGGGCCTGGCCCCTCGGACCCGACATACGCTCACCTGGCTGAGGCCCCCGCCCCCCACAGGCAGCCAGCCCCCACTGGAGTCATCTCGGGCCATCACCACAGCTCGGACCCGAACCATGTACCTAAAGGTGGGGGGACAGGGACAACACGGTCAGTGAGCTCCAATCCTGCTCTCCCATTCAATGTTTCCCCAACCCTCATCTCCCCTCTTCGTCTCTCACATCTGGATCCACTGCACCCTTCACCGGTTTACCTTCCATGCCCGCCTTCCCTCCCCATGCCCGCCTTCTTCCAGCATGGCTTCTTTCTTCCTCATGCTATCTTTTTTCTCCCATGCCTACCTTCTCCAAATCTACCTTTCTCTCCATACCCACTTTTTCTCATTCTCCCCATGTTTCCCATTCGCATCCCACAGCTTCTGTTTTCCACTTCCCATCCCCCTCCTGTTCATCCCCTTTCAACCCTATCTCCTTCTCTTCCCTTCTCATACTCACTGCCCCACCCATAGTTCCCCCTCACAGCTGGGTGCCTGTGTATACGTATTTTCTTAGAGCCCATCAACTCAGCTCCAGTCCCCCCTACACTGCCTCCGCACCCTGCCGCCCAGGCCACTGGCTTGGTGAGAAAACCAGGCTCTCTTCCCCCACTCCTTCCCGGATTTATGAATGAGACCGGATGTAAAGCTCACTGAGTCACCCAGCAACGGGAGATGGTCAGGGAACAGGGAGAGAACCAGAAATGGCCAGACAGAGGCCGAAAGGGAGAGGGAGGTAGAGGAAGCCAGAAACCGGTGACCGAGACACATCGAGAGAGGCATTTCATTCACAAAAAATCAAACCTGCTCCCTCGGCCCCAGCCTAAGAAAGGCAATGGGAAGAGGCTGGCGGGGTGGGGGGGGGGGATTGATCCCTCCCCCTCCTCCTCCTCCTCCCCGCCCCAGCATCCTTCAGAGCCATCTTACCCCGCCCCCCAGCTCAGGAGACGTAGCCCTCCGCCCAGTAATCAGTATCAGCGTCCAGATGTCCCTCACTACCACTTAGCGCAGGGACCCTGGCGTCCCAGACTTAGGGACCCATGCAACGAGCTCTAGCCCCTTCCCCCACCTGCAGAACGCTGGGGTTTCCCCGCCCTTCAGTAGGGGAAGGGGCGGCAGCAGCGCCCCCAGCCCCCTTTTCTCAATGGGATGGGATTTTGTGAATGAGCAGTCACGTGACGCTGCTTCCTTTGTCCGCCCGCCTCCCCCGACAACAGGTGAAGCAGAGAAACAGGGCAAGGGCCCCCCCCAGGGCCTAGCTGAGATGGGACGCCGGAATTTATGGGTGCCCTACACTCCCCACACGTTTCCCGGGGGGGAGTGGGCTCCACAGTTCCTCAATGGTTGGGGTCCAGTACGGAAATTTATGAATGGAGCGTCCTCAGAGGAAGTCCAGGCCCCCCAAATGGAGACTGGTACCCCAAATGGCTGTCGCGCAGTATAGGAGCCCCCACCCCCTTGTCCTTCCAGCTGGGATCTGGGGGGCGCCCCAGTGGGCATGAGGTGCAGCGCGGTCCTGGCCGCCCCCACACCGGGACAGAAGGTCTGTCAGCCCCCGCCCCCTCGCCCCCCTCGGCACCTGCCTGGGAGGCTCCAGCCGGGCTCCGAGCGGCGGCGACGTGGCCTCCTCCTCCTCCTCCTTCTCCTCCTCCTCCTCCTCCTCCTGTTCTCTCCGGATCCCTCGCAGGCTCCGGCGGCGCTAGAGACGGGCACCAGGAG